CAGACAAGTTGAGTTGCATCCCAGCCAGAGCTAGCCTTGTGGACTCTGCCTGGGAGCTTTGCTCCCCTTTTGTTTTGAATTAGCCTTTGTAAACTATTTTGTACCTAAAAGGAATAGAACTAGATTATATTTAATTGCTTTGGGGGGAAATGTGAGGACCAAATATAGGAGCTGAGCGTGATTTCTTTGCACCAAGAGTCAAATTTCTTTGCACCAAGAGTCAACCGACGTGACTCGTTGAACCATTTTGGAATTTCTATAAACACTGAGTGACCTGCCTGCCCTCCCCACCACCCAGAGCCCTCCTCCTTTCCCTCCTTCATCCCCAACCTGTCCCCAGTCTCACCCTGCAGTTGCGGCCATACTCCCTTCGTGCAGGAATGCAACCTTACATTCCGACTCTAATGAGGTTAATATTGTCAAAATGCCAACCTGCAGTGTAATCCTCCAGCTACAAAAACCCCACAGCTCAGCTGTCCCCCCCCACCCCTTTCACAAAAAAACAGTGTGCAGGAATGTGTGTTTCTGAGATTAAAGGTAAAGTTTAAAGATCCTTGTCATGTGTTTAAGTTTCTTCCCTTTTGGGGGGAGGGGAGGTGTGTTCTGCTGAAAGAATGGCACCTGAACATTCATTTAATTTAGGTGGCCGGGGGGCGGGGGGGGGAGAAAGCAGCTATGCAGATAATTCTGCACTACTGAATTTTGTTAGAGCACATGAGCTTAACTGACGCCAAGTGTAACCTTCCTGAAAGTGTCCCTCCTCAATGAAATGGGGGGAGGGTCTGATTTTTGTGCATGGTGGGGCCATAACCACAAATGTCAGTTCTGCCCACTCTCTCACCAACCAAGTCTGACGCAATTGTGAATTTGGGCTGTTATAATCTCCCATCAGACTTCAACTCCCAGAATTCCCCAGCCAGCCATGCTGGCTGGGGAATTCTGGGAGATGGTGTCCACCCATCTTAAAGTTGCCAAGGTTGAGAAACACTGCATCAGACTCTTCTGACCAAAGGAGGAGGACCAGAGGAGAAATCAGACTAGGGTGAAAGTAAATCCTTTAGAAATAATAATGAACAAGAAAGCACTAAAGCCTCCTCAAAGGTCATGTCTAACCCATTGACTCAGCGTGACTGGACAGCACAGAATCAGAAGAAAAGCTGATTAAAAAATGCATGTGACACATATCATTCTGAAGTGTGTAATTCTCATTTAGGACTGAATGAAATGACAGGTGAATTACAAGCTTCATCCAGGGAATCACTCATTTTAGGGATGAGATTCCTAATGAATCCCATAAATGGGATTGTGCCTACGGGGCCGCATTCAAACTGTCATGGATATAGGTACTTCTGCATGTGTGCAGAACATGTATGCAGAATCTCTACTTTTGAACACAGGGAACCCCATTTATACTGAGGTGCAAACCAGGGAGGAAATAATGTGTTTTGAGGGACAAATCCTGATCTTCCTGCTTAACTATTAATTTCTACAGTGAATAAAATATGGAAAGGATGATAATGTTCTTATTGATGCTAACTGAATTGCCATAAATAAGAAGTTAACCAATTTATAATTATCTTGTGTCTAAAGACATAATTTTAATAGGGATTGTAAACACATAACAAAGTTAGGTAATCACCCTCCAGACAGTCTACATTCAGAAACTTTTTGAGACAAAGCAATTGTTCCAGGCCCACTCATGGAGGCTTTCATCCTAGGTCTGGAAATTGTTGAGTTTCCATACATAGCCCCTGCTACTGGGCCACTGACTTCAATGGATAAAAAAAACCCAATGGATTTTCCCTTCCTCCTATTGACATCAGACACACCGAGAAGAAAACAGAGGCAAGGCTTAAATAAACAATTCTGCTCCCAGGTTCTCAGACTACAGTCCCCACATTCCTTTGCTATTGGCCATGCTGATTGAAGTTGATCAAAGCCAAAGCTTTGAAGGACATCAGACATGCAAAACCTGAGAGTTATCATTCATATCACAGGGATACTTCACCATTATATTTTTAGGGAGATATTGCTTTAAATTCACAGCAATATTCTGACATCTAAGAGAACAAATGCTCATACAACGCATGAATATTTGTGGAGAGGAAACAGAACCCCACAACAGTCCACCCAGCGTCTACAATACACTGGCGGAACCAGACGTCCAAACACTGAGGGTCAGTTTTCTCTACTAGAATCTCTTTTTGAGTTATATCAAATGCAAATATTCCCAGGGTAGCAGGGTGACAAGGATTAGATACAAAAATGCTGTCTAATATGTTGGAATGATTTGTAAGCCTTTCCCATGGCATAATTTAATAAAGTTCAAAGTCCTTCCGATTTTTGTAGAAACAACATTCTTTGCAAGTTATGAAAGAAACTGACTTTGTGATGACTTTGCAAATATTCAGTCTTGTTACACAAACAATGCTTTAAATTCTACCTAGAGGTGAAAAAAAGTTGGCAGAAAGAGTAGCTGAAGGTAGGAAAGGAGAGAGAGAAAGAGAGAGAGAGAAATAAGTCCAAAAGAACATATTCCTCCTTTATCTTATGGGCATATTCACGGGTCAGTGATCAAAGGACTTTGACATGTCTTTTAATTATGCCCACTTAAATCTCTCTCAGATACAGGCTATGGATATCTGCCAAATAATTGATCTCCATGCTTACTTTTTACAATGCTGATGCCAAAGAAGTGAGGATCTTTAATTTTCAGTACATCACAAACTTGATCAAAGAGTTCCTGTCCTGTGGCTTTTACCTACAACACAAAGCAGTATTTAAGCAGTTTAGAGTAGGGTATTTCAAGGCCATCATAACTATGCACTCCTTTGCATTATGGCATTACATACATGAATGGAACACACTGCTACAAAGTAAGTTTGCAGATTATTGAAGCATTTATGGTAGGATTCCAAGGCAATGACTATTATGAATGTATCTTTTACTCTGTAGTCAAAGGCCTTAAATTAGCTTAACACAATGTTAATTTCTAAACAATGTTTTAGCAATGAATCAGGATATTACTCCATAGTAAAACAATGACATATTGTGTGATATACTGCTATGTTGTTGTACACCCGAAGGACAGGACAAACAATGGACACTTTATATATCTGAACAATGTGATCCACTGCCTTGGTTCACACAATACATCAAACCAAAATGTGATTTGCTTGATTTGGGATTTGTTCTATAAGTCTAATCAACTGTGAGTTGATTATAACTAATCAACTATCATTATAATTATTTAATATCAAAGAACTGTATGTTCTTGACTAAGATGTATATGTGATTCAGGCATAACATAACACATAGATTATGTTCACTTGGCACTGACCCTATCTAATTCTGTCTTGGGATAAATATGCCCAGCACCAAGAGTCCTTGATCACAGATATCCCAGTCAATGAAGAATGCCCATATCTGATGAACTTCCAGACACTGCGAGAGTGGCTGAGAGCCTGTCACTTTTTGGCTCTTTTAATTTTTTTTTTTAATGTTTGGTCCAAATGAGGCCAGCATCCATGGCAAATTTGGGGGAAACTTCCCCATCCTGCTTTCTTTCTTTCCCTATTCACCCTCATATGGATGCAAGAGGAAGAAGTGAAAAAGTAACAAAAGAGCTCAAGAGAGTCACTAGATTCCCATTTTTGAGGGCCGCTTTGAGCCGTTAGCAAGAAGAGAGAGAGTTAACTCTGTTATCTCTTTCATTCTGTTTGGACAACATGGCTGCTCAGAGGAAATTAGTTTAGTCCAAAACAATCTTGGGACTGCAATGCCCTCTAACCCCAGTGATGAATGAGTTATAGCATTTGCATAATCTCACTCATGACCCAGGGAACTATGACATGTACGTACAGCCATTCTTTCTGTATTGCTTCCCAGGTTAAACACAGAGAAGTTATTTTATTGCAGACAAGGAAGAAGTCTTACAGTATATTGTAGATCTGCCTATTCCAGAACACGGTAATCAAGCCCTGCATATATATGCCAGCCCCAGGGTTGAAATCCTAAGCCTGTTCTCTCTGCCCTTTCAAGTTAACAGACTTTGGCCTGTTCTTTTCTAAGGCACCTCTTCCATTTTTACACAATGGCTCAGCTTGGCCTGAGCATTGCTGATTCTTGTCTCAACAGCTTCGTTCCCTACAAGTCCAGGGGAAAGTATTCAAAAGGTTTTGAATTACTCAACTGGCCAAGGTGGCATAGGCTTTAGGACTAAAAAATATCTGTAGGTGACCAGGTTACCCATTCTTGCTTTCAATAAACTCTGGTTTACGTTTAATGCCTGACAAGCCATGGTCCTTGATCTGAAACCAACAAACCATGATTTGAAATTGAAGCTGGTCCTAAATCTACTTTACTGTTATGTCTGAATTAACAGACCTTTTCTTTTTGACAGGACATATTTAGGGCCCTTGCTCCATCTTAGAGCACTTCTGTATCTGCTCCATCACAAAGTACAGAATCACAGAGATGGAAGTGAATCTATGAAGCTTTGCTTGAATAGATGGAGAACAAAACAATCAAGCAATGGAAAACTATGCCTGTTAAACAAACCATAGTTTCTTAGCTATGGAAAAGAACCCAGCCATATCTCTTTTCTTATCCTATCCTCAATGATGCTAGAGGAAGGAAAGACAAACCCTTGTTGTATATTCTAAACATCTACAGAAATGGCTAAATATCAATAGAGTATTTACCCTAAAAGGAGATAATCCATTGTCACAAAAGGGAAAAACTGGTCTGCCTCCATTACCATATTCTCAACAACTCTAAAATGACACTCCCATTTTAAGGTAAATTATATGGGGGAAAACCCTTTTAGGCAAATAAAGCAAGACATTCCAGAAATCAAAAGGAAATGGTACATACGGTACATACAGAATTGACAGTTTTGTGAAAGTTTAGACAATTCTGGTTTGGTTTGGTTTTAAAAAATGACATCACACACATTAGCATCTCTTTAAATCAAATCAAAAGAAGCTGTATCTTTTTTTGGCTCACATGGCTACTGCCATGTCATTCCAGGAAAAATGAATTGTATTTAAGGAGATGCAGACAGGTGCAGCACATGTACCTGTGGGCACACCAAGTCATCTTTTCCCTTTGAATCCAGATCCCTTTATAACACGCTTTGGCATACATCATCATCATCATCATCATCATCATCAATAATTTATTAAACTTATATGCTGCTCAACTCTCAACAATTATGGGTGGCTCACAACAATCAAATTACAATAAAGTCAATAAAACATAAAAAATAAAGATAAAAGATGGCAAGCACAATGAAGCGAGGGGTCTCGCTCTCCCTTGCCAAAGGCCTGGGTGAAGAGCCAGGTCTTCACAGCTCTTCTAAGCAACAGAAGAGTGGGGGCCATCTGGACCTTCGGGGGAACCTCGTTCCAGAGGGTGGGCACTGCTGCAGAGAAGGTGTGCTTCTGGGATCCTGAGAGATGACATAGTTTGAATCGAAGGAACTCAGAGCATGCCAATCCTGCTGGATTGAATCAGCTGGGCAGATGTTATGGGAGACAAGTAACCAGGCCGCATGCCATGAAGGAGTTTATAGATATCAACCAGAACCTTGAACTGCATCCAGAAGCAAATCAGCAACCAGTTCAGCCCGTGAAGCAGAGGTGTTACATGGGCATACCAAGCCATGCCCGTTTCTGCTTCCGCTGCTGCATTTTGGACCCGTTGAAGCTTGGAATGATCTTCAAGGGCAGCCCCATGTAGAGAACATTGCAGTAGTCAAACCATGAGGTGACAAGGAAAACTCTTTTAGATAAATAAAACAAGACATTCCAGAAATCAAAAGGAAATGGTACACAGAGTACTCATATTGCTCAACACATCAAAACATCTACTATTTTTCTTCACAATCTATCCATAAACAATATTCTCTACCAGAAAAGCCACGCTAACAAAAGGCCTTCAATTTCTCTTTGAAAATGGACACAGCCTATCCAGATTCTGTATACTGTCTCTCTTAAAAACTATCACTTTATTTCTTAAATGTGTGTGCTGCTCTTTGAAACCAAGTTTTTCCAGGGTAGGTTACCATTTTCATGGCTATGATCAAGGTGACACTGTAAAACTTCCACAAATGGCACATTTGATACAGACATACGTGGAGAGGAGGATCTAGGGCAACTTCTGAAAAATTATTTTGAAGCCATCTTATAACCTCAGGGGAATATAGAAAGATTATAGCATTAAACAGTGCAAATGGATGTGAACTGACTGAAAGCTAAACATTACTGCATGAAAACAAAACAACAGAACTTCATGCAGAGGCAGAGAAGTAGAAGTAGACAGCACCTCTTGCAGAATCAGGAAAAGGAGGGGGGATCTTAGGAATAAGGGTCCTCTGGCTTCCTGAACCCAAGTCAGTCATCCACCTTGGTAGAAATACTGCAAGGATAAATCAATATTTGCTCAGAGGAGAAAAAGAGTGGCTGTACCATTTTCATTTTACAATGATTTGTGAAAATGCACAAAACAATGAAGGATCCTTTTGTGTTAATACTAGGGGTATACATTGTTTCGGATTTGATTTCAAAAAGGTGCTTCAGAACATGCAGGGTCTTGAACATAGCACTTGCCTATAACTCTTTAAAGCAACTGCATATTTGACTAGGATCACATGGCTGCCTTCCATAGCTGCTGCATGATTCCAGGAAAAGATACAGCTACTTTAAATAGCTACAGACATGTACTATGACTATGCCCCTAAATATTCCAAAACAGTTATTTGGAATTCCATCTAGTCAATTAGGAAGAACTAAATTTCAAACTTCCTGAAGCAAGGATTTATTTGGGCCTGATTTGAACTGGTAGTTCACAGTGAATTACTCCAAAATGAAAGCCAAACCAAATATTGTGATTAATGCCTACCTAGTTTTAGTTTCAAATGACCTCTAGTCATTCTAGTCATAGTGGGGATTACAAATAGTTGAAGTCAATGTGAGCTACTGGCTTCCTAAAAGTTTTTAAGAGTGGTCCCTATATAAAAGGCCATTCTGAAATCTTATGAAGTACTGTGTTAATCCTAGGAAATCTGAATATTTCAAACATGATTCCATTAAATAGATTTCTCATTTTTTAAGGAACAATTCTGTAACAACATTTTGGTAATAATATACTGTAGCTACTGAATAAAAAAATGTAATTTGCAAGCAGAAAGGTTTAATACGAAGCAAGCTACAAAACATAAGGCAGCCATAAACAGAAAAAAGGTATCTAATCTTCTTTTTAAACTGGAGGAACCATACCTGTGACTTTCTTACATTCTCTACCACCAAGTTATGGTCCCTCCTGATGAAGGAATCTAATCCTATCCACACAGAGGGAACATGTACAGGAACACCTGTCTGCAACTCATTAAAGCAACTGTGTCTTTTTCCAGAATCACGCAACTGCTGTGGGGAGGCTTCTTCTGTAACCACGCAATCCTGAAATCAGACACCCCTGAAATTCAGCTCTGGGAAGAGCATCACTAAAGGACTACCATACTGGAAGCAGAAATCCATTCTAAGGAGTATCCTATGGCTGATCTGACCTCCCCGCCTCACCCCCCCCCATACAATGGCATGATGAGCTCTACACAGAATCTAGCTTTCAAACAGGCTTAATATTTGTTGAGGTATTCAGTCACCATTCAGCCACAAGCTAAGCTGAAGAACTGGGTTTATAAGGTATAAACGGAATCCACCCATAAGGGCTGTCATTACTAATTCACAAAGATTATGAACTCATTTGTACACATGGCAGTTAACTGAATAACACAGAAGGAAAAAAAGAGAACCCTAATTCAATAAATTTAGACCACCCTCCCAAAGATGTGGTATTACACCCGTTATTTCTTCCTGCATGGCTAATGTTCAAAGTGGCTCCAATTTGAGGAATTGTAATTCAGTATCTCTGGAGTGCAGCAATTGGAGGAAGGATGAGATACATAGCAGGGGAAACTGATAAGAAGAAGATGGTACAAGAGGAGACACAAGAGAAATAAGCTGCCCAGAGTTTGGTTTAAGATGGGCGGCTATAGCAATGTTTTGAATAAATAGATAATAAAGCTAAATTTGTTCCCATTAGGATGTGCACCACAAAAAAATAAACATCAGAGGAGAAAAATGCATTAAAAAGCATGGTAAAAATTATTTAGAAGCAAGTAGACACAACTGTATGAAACTATTTTAACAGTTCAGCTGCAAAGGTATCTGGAAATTCAACAACACTCTTTTGGCTATTTATGCTGTTTTTTCTGATGCTTTTTTGAAGGGCCCATGATATTCAAAAAATAGAGTGGGAGAATGAAGTACACTCTTTTGACAGTTTACTTTGAACACACACAGCTCCATGTTTTATCTTCACAGATGATTTTAAAGTGCTCAGTAAGTTTTTCATTCTTTTCTATCTTTCTTTTTATACCTTTCCCTTCTGTGACAGAACAGATTAAAAAAGAAGAAATGGACAGGTCCATGCATGAATAGCTGCCTGACTCAAAATGTATATTTTCTAAGGGGAATCCACATAAACAGGTGCATGTTACATTTTTAAAAAACATGCAAATCCTGACAGAAATTTAACTTCAGTGATAACTATTTTTTTCATTAAAGTACAGATTCTAAAAAGCATGAAAAACTTGGGCATTAAAACCTGCAAGACTACAGAGAAACATAATTCTATTAATAACTTTAATAGGCATCATAGATTACAAACTACAATATTCTCTATCTTAACTCCTGGACTACATTTCAACTTTTATTTTCCTACAAGGGAAAGTTCTCAGGATATAGAGCTACTTAATTTTGTTTGCAAGTTTTATTAGCTTGTATAGCTTCAAAGTATGATTCCCCAGGTCTACCATGTTGAAAAATTAACACAACTAAATCAACAGCTTCCAAGGAAAAACTTTTTTTGAGTTTTCCAACACTACAAAACCATCAAACAAACATGAAAAGAAGTTTCAGAAGAAAGAGACCCAATTTATGCTAATTTGGACCAATTTTTAAAATAAGCTTACTTATTAGTTTACAAGGTTTTTTTTTTCCAACTTGCACATCTTCAGAACCTCCACTATATTCCTCACGCTATCTAAATAACACAGGTACCTATCTGTATTATTCATAGTGATCTCCAAACCAAGCTTAGATACACTTACCCCAACAGTCAAACTGAGCTGGTCTCGGTCTGGCAGAAGGACACACACATTCCTAAAATCCAAAGGCATCTTCTTTGGCAATAGCTGTTTGCTCATTGCAGAACTGGTTGTAAACTTCTCATACCGCTCCGCCAAGTAACAATGCCGCAATCAGAGCCTTGGGAATCAAGCCAATTTCGTTCGTATTCTTTCAACCTGAGAAATAAAAATCCTTAGAATAAGGGGTAGGAGTACTTTGTAGCGAGAAGCGACAACATTAAATGATTCTCCGTAGCTTCATTCTAAGCAGCAGCTCTAACAACCAGCATCTCACTGAGCTTTGGCGTAATTATAACTAATCTTCACATTAGTCAGCTCTTTTACTGATTAGCAGCTGGTTACGTTACACTGTAGGTGGGAATACTAGCCTGGGAAATTATCTGAGGGAGGCCCAGAAAAATGGCATCCACGGGTTTACATACCCTTCTCTTGAATCAGCTACTTTATCCTGTGTGCCAAGTATCATAGTCCAGAGATGCTGGTAGATGATTTTATTTTATTTTTTTTGCACACTTGCTTCCCCTACGTGACAGTCAGCTTTTAAAAAAACAAAGTCCTGAGTCACTGGAAAGAAAGGCAGAGAAAGCAATGTACGGGCCAATAAGAATGAAGGGGGGGAAAAATACTTAGAACATTGGACCCGAGATTACACAGTCATCAGTAAATAGCACCAAAGATGACTCAGAGGAGGTGCAATCATGTGTTTCTGTGGACTTAAGAGTATTAGTAGAAGTATGTGAGGAAGTTTTTCTTTTAATCTAGCACCTAATTACATTGGAACAGAGGGAAATGAGGCACACCGCAGAAATGCTCTGTACTGTGTAATAAGGCACCACTGCGTTAGTATCTCTCTCGAAATATTCCGCACCTCTACAGACGGCAGCACTTGGCACTTCGGCTAATCTCAAAAACTAAGCAGGGACAGCCTGGTTACTCCTTCGAAATGAGAGCACCTAACTATTCCAAGGCTGTTGGATAGATGAGCAAAAGGGTGCATTGTAACCAATGAAAGCGGGTGGGGGAGCCCCAGAAATCTGTTTTTCTGTATGGACGTATTTAAGACTCTTTCGTTGTTAAAAATGCCCTGTAGTTTTTACAGGTCCTGAAGTGCACCTCATTGTTGCTCCATTCTACCTAGTTAATACCTCTGACTTAGACCTGTCACACTAACAGGAACTTACTGGATCCAGGTTCTATAGTATATGTTGACCTCATGTCCAAAATGAAAGACAATGGACAACAATGCCTATTTCCTCCTTTGACTTTTAATATTTGTTTGGAACCTCTAGCGTGTGCTATAAGACAAGATTATAATATCCATGGTTTATATCTTAATTCTGCAGAACATAAATTAATATTATATACTGATGATATTTTATTATTGATCTCTATATTCCATGCTTCAGTTCCAGTTCTGATGCATTTAATAATATGTTTGGGAAAACAGCAGGATATTGAATTAACTGGACCGATTCAGAATTTATAGGTAAAACTCCCTTCATGAATTTATTAGGCAATTATCAGTTTCAGTTTTGCAGTAAATATGTTACCTATCTTGGGGTTCTTATTTCACGTAATTATGGCAGATAATCACTTCAAATATGAATAAAAAATATAGATCTCTTTGGATTGCAGTAGATGGCAGCCTTTAAACCTTACCCTTTGGGACAAGGTTAATATTCTTAAAATGAATTGTTTAGAATATTTTGCCTGGTTTTGAATGAATCTGGATTGGGCTGAGAAAGTGTGATTAGCCCAAACTTTGCTAGTGAGCTTCCATGTCCACACCATAAAGGAACTTGAGAGTGCATATAATTAGAATATAGTTGTGTACTAATTATATGCACTCTCAAGTTCCTTTATGTTTTTTTTTTTTGCACCTATTTCCAATTGATGTGGACATGGAAGCTCACTGGCTAGGTTTGGGCTAATCATACTTTCTCAGCCTAATCCAGATTCAGGATCCAACTACGGCCCAAACCCAGTTCAGGATCCAACTACAGTACGCATGACTGATAGCCATCCAACATCTGCTAAAATACCTTAAGCAGAAGTACCTCTTTACTCAGCTTCTAAATTTAATTCAAAATGACAGTTTTGAAAGACCAGAACTGTGGAACAGTGACAGTTCAAGAAATTATCTTTGTTGATTCCAAGGTCTATCCGGTAGGTACTATTTCTATTTAAAAATGTGCTGATGACCAGCAAATGACCCTTAAGCATACCTCCTCTGTCAACCATCTGATGTACTTTCCCCACAAAGCTGAGGTCAGCTCCGGCCAGAGAAAAGAGATAACTTTGATGAGTATCATTTGGTTTCCAGATAAAGTTGCAGCTAAGATTATCAGTCCAAACCTGCCTGTAGTATATCAATGATTCCTAAATGATGGATTAGGTTTTCAAACTGGGTAGCCTCTGGAATGCATGAACGATGACTAACACACACAGTTGAACCAAGAGAATTTATTTATTTATTTATAAATCAGATTTACATGCTGCCCATTTCACTATCAGTGACTCTAGGTGGCTAGAATCAAATTTACTCTGAACAAAATCAAAACACCTCTCTACCCACCCACCCCCAAAAAACCAAACCCCAAAACATGGCATACCTTGCTCTAAAACACTAGAAAGTAGGTAATTTCAAGGGGAAAAAAAAAAGCTTTAAGAGTTTTCTCATTTTTCTACTTTTGGATGTCCCTGAAAAGCATCTTTCTGGTTCTGATATTTAAAAGCAGAGATGCTGGACTGAAGAAATGGTTGTTTTAATGCATTCCAGGTAGATATGCTAATAGACCTCAAGTTTTCAATTTGCTCAGACATTAACCCATCTCCTAATGGTTCAGTACTAGAGGCTTGAATGGATGGGCAAACAATCGTATCAGTCATTTCAAGAACCACAGTTGCCCAATAGCCATTAATGATCAGTAGTGATGATAGTATGATATAGTGTGTAGTATGTGGTATGTAGTATGTAGTAGTAGGGTGATGATGATGATGAGCTGGAAGGGCAGATTAATGATCAATAACTCTTACTGTTGAACCAGTTTGGTGTAGTGAGTAAGGCACCAGGCTAGAAACCGGGAGACCGAGAGTTCTAGTCCTGCCTTAGTCACAAAACCAGCTGGGTGACCTTGGGCCAGTCACAACCTCTCAGTCCTAGGAAAGAGGCAATGTCAAAGCACTCTGAAATCTTGTCAAGAAAGCTGCAGGGACTTGTCCAGGCAATCACCAGGACTCAAAGGCACCAAAACAAAACAAAACAAAACACCTCTTACTGTTAGAGTAGAGGAAATAGAAAATATTTCTTCATATGACCATCCAGTCAGATTATCAGAAACATCTCCACTTGGTAACTGCGCAACTGTCAAACTCTACAGGAGTATCTCCCTGTTCTCCATATTAATAAAAAGGAAAGAAAACCATTCCTTTTGTAAGTTATAAAAGATGGGAAGAGGAACATGAGACGTTAAGCTAGATAGTGAGTAAGTATCCATGAAAATACACATAACGTGGAATGATGCCCAACAGGCTTGAGAAAGAATAATTATGAGGCATACAATAAAACAACACAGTGTGAAATAATCGTGCTCAAAGTCCCAGCCAATCCTCTCCTAGGATACTCCATTCCACCTCCTTTCCAACCACTTATCATTTTACCTCCTTCTCCTATCATGAGGCTGCATGAAGTCTTTGGCACACTCTAGCTTATTCTACATCTGTAAACTTGGGGGTTAATCTGAATCTATAATTATCTTATTTTGTGAGTGGATGCACCAAGATGCAGTCTGCTATATGAAGATTTATACTTGGAAAATTAATCCAGTATTGATATATTTCAGATCTGAGGCACCACACCACACTTGTTTGGAGTACCTGCAGACTAAGTGGAGCTGCATCATGACAGAAAGCCAAAATTCAGCAGTGAAGTAGGAGAAGATTCTTGCAGTGGAAAAATAGAGTTTCAGGGTCAACATGCAAAGATGGGGGTAAAGACTGCCCACTCTAATTGATAAAATGGCTCAGCATCAGAATGGTATGCTTGTTAAGGGCAAGGATAGGTAAATTACTTCCACTCTCTTACCATTCCATATATGGTTCATTTCATCAGGCAGTTAAAATCAATTCATCCAACCAGCTATTTATATCCAGTGCGTGGATGGCAAATATTTTGAAAGGAAACGCTGATTTAAAACCAGGAGATGAAAGTCAAAGCCACAGAGCCACATATATTTTCCAGAAATATTCTGCTTTCTTTAATTCTTATATCTACATAAACACTGTTACCTATGAAGCAAATGATTTATTGCATCACCTCCCCTAATAAATTATGGGTTAAATTTCCTTGTGATGCACAACAAACCAGATCACTTTCAAAGCAATTAATTCTCATTAGAATTCTGTGCTTTATTTCTGTGAAGCTCCTGGGTTCAATTTCCCTCAGTTAAATCAGATTATGCACACAATGCATAATGCACACAAGTATGATTTATTAGATCACAGAAATCCAAAGAATATAAGCTGCTATATAGTCAAACCACTGGCCCATACTTGTACTCTCTCCAGGATTTCAGAGATGGCTTTCTCCCAGCCCTACCTGAAGAGGCCAAGGATTAAAGGATTAAACCTGGGAAACATCTTTACCACTAAGTAAGCCCCCACCCAAATGTCCATTGCTTGGGTCTTTGATACAAGAACTATGAACATCATTACTGCCATGCCCTTGAACATGGAAATACAATAGGGCACCAGAGGCTTAGGTTTACTGACTGATTATACCAGAAGTCAAGATTTCCCCCCCTCATTTTAGCTATAGCACCGTTCAGCACAAAACGGTCTAGTATCAACAGCTTTAATCTTCACTCTGAAAGAAGGGGAATTAAGTATGTGATTACTCTTGATTTCAGTCTACCCCTTACTTTCATTGTTCTGAATAATTATCCTACCTGTAAGCAGCAAAGTAAAAATTGCTTGGCAGAAGGCCCAAAAGCCAATCAATAGATCTGAGTGTGTCACTGTTCATGAATGCTTGAAATTAACACAAGCAAACAAACAGCACAAAAGACCCACAGTGACAGACAAAAACCCAAATACACTAGTTATATTTTTATTGGCCTTAGGAACTCCCTTGGCAAGAATGGAACACAGAAGGTAGC